CCTCCAGAAGGGCTTTCGCTTCCGAACTGATGACAGAGTCGGGTCTCTTCAGTACCGCCGATGCCATCAATAATTCACTCAATTTATTGGCCTCTAATTCATTGAACGTTTGGTTGCCATCGAGGGGACGGTCGACGGGAACCACTGATAGCATGAAAGTTGATGTCTTTTCCAAAATATGGTCTGTCATTATATCCTCAAACTCACTGTGATTTAAGCAAATGACCCCTTCCTCGACAGTTATGTCGTTTTGTGACGATTCCGATGAACTACTGGTGCTTTCAAAGGCTATATCAGCGGCTCTTTTAATGACAGTAGTGGTCGAGTCGATGATAGTTTCGCTTTCTTTGGTTTCTCGGATTTCTTTGAGTTTTTCTCTTTTCATTTGTAATCGTTTTCGTCTCAAATCTTTCTCGTTGTCTGTCAGTAGACATCCCTTTAATGAATAAAATTTTATGTGTTTAGATACCGTAGTTTATATTTGAAAAAGTTTTTATTATACTTTTCTCATTCCGATATCAAAGCATTTCTGTAATCGACAGAATCGACAAAACTTTCTGGTCTTTAAGTTCACACTACATTTGCTGTCGAAATGGCAGCTAAACTCCTGTAAGAATATTACAACAGTTATGCTATTAATAAATAAATTATATTAAATCATTAATTAGATAATTAAATAAATAATTAATGATGTTTTCTCCAATTCTTACTTCATTTCTAAATGCATTTCGTCTGAAAAATGCTTTACAAGACTCGCACGAAAGGCCACCAAAATTAATGCCTTATATTTTGAAAATAATAAAAATATACTTATTATTATTAATCTTAACATTTAATTAAATATAAAATTTTAAGCCAAATGTTTATATATTATTAATATATGACTATAAAAAAAATATAAACATACCAAATGCTTTATCACCACAAACCAAACATATTTTTGATGAATCTTTATTATTAGACATTTTATACAAGAATCTATTTATCAATATAACAAACTTATTACTAATAAGTTATTAGGAAATAATACTAATTTCACTTATAAATAGTTATTTGGGTACTTTGAAAAATACCACTGTTTAGTAAATTAACTTTTAGCACATCATTTAATAACTTCTAATTTATATCACAAGTAAAACCCGATAAAAATTTCTTGAATACAAATAATAGTCAGTGAAACTCAACATAAGTTTGATTAATATTTTAGCAAAACTATTGTGTTATTTAGTGCACAATGTACTCAGAGTTAGAGATTGCGTATTCTGGATACTGTACTAGGCATACCTACTTTTTATTATGTACTCCCATTCCAGAAACTTTTCAAGGGCATTTAATACAGAAAATGTAGAGAATTTATTTACTTTTCTTATTTCACAACCGTATACATAATATAAAATATTATCATTTATAAACTTAATTCAATTTACAAATAACGTTTAAAATTTATTAAATAATTTATATAGAAATCAACTAAAAATCTGTATTACATTACAAAAATGGGAAATAATCATCAATTTCTTCGGACATAATCTCTTTGACGAGTTGTGTACAGCATTTCCTGAGCTCAACGTCCGTCTCGTAATAGTTTTGTCTATTTGTCAAATAAATTGCGTTCAAATACTTTAAACTTTTTATTAGTCGCGAAAACTTTGCTCGCGATTCACATTCGCATCGATATCTCAATTGTAAATAGCGTTCAAGTAAATACATGTAAATATTTTGTTGAAATCTACAAAAATAGTATCCAAATAATTAACTAGATACAAATTATTAAACTTATTGTTTACTTAATTGCTTTCCTATGCAAAAGGTTTGGTCGATTCGGGTTGAACAGTGCGATTGCCGTCAACTGTAATATATTATAAACTTTAATAATTTTTTTAATTAAATATTTTCTAAACTAATTACTAGGTTTAGGATAATGACATCGGAATCCCATTCACTATGAATGCACTGATAGTACTGTCTGTAGGCCTCATACAAATACTTTCTCTCACTTTTGATGCCTTCAAACTTTACAAGAGTTGAGGTCTCTTTGTCCTAAATATCACCACAAAAATCAGTAAATTATCAGCAAGCAATCATTTTATAAATAGTCTCCTACTGCATGGACAGCCAGGTATTGTGTGTTGGGGTCATAGCCCGTGAATTGTCTCATTGAACACAACTCAATGGACCCGTATTTTAATAGCGCGATCTGATCGTTGGGGCAAATGGTGTTGAATGCGGTCAATGTCTTACACATTATGACCAGTCTTTGTACCAAATCTTCAGTGCTTCTGGTGATGGCAGTCATTGCGTCCATATATGTGTCCACTTGTGACGTGATTTTGCCGAAAGTTATTGTCAACACATTTGCGGCACTCATCAGTTCAGTCATGCGATTGCCCTCTAATTCAGTCAAATTGTTTCGATAGTCGGTGATTGGCCTCAAAATAGGCATCGCTTGTGGTGTTAAATATAAGGCATTTAGAGTCATATCACTTGAGATGTGATTTAAAACATTGTGTTGAATGCAATTTTCAATTTCATAAATCTGTTTATGAAGTTGATCACTAAAAATATTGCTATTTATTAGTAATTCATCAATTGTTTCGTTACTAGAGTTTGTATCAGTAGTCGATTCTGCAACCAATTCATTGTTATTACACTTATTTTGCAACCGTTTTCTCCTATTTTCTTCAATTTTCGTTTGTCTCATCTCTTTCTGTTCGGCATTTAATATATTTTCCTAACATTAAAAGCATTTAGTTACCAAGATAATACTGTATAAACTTGTTAAAAAGTTTTACTCACTTTTCTCATTCCCAGCGCCAAACACTTTTCGAGTCGACATTTTTGACAGAATTTTCTTTTCAGTGAATTTATTTCGCAATTGTTACCAAAATTGCACTTAAATTCCTATTTATAATAATTAAATAATTAAATATACATGTGGTATACTGGCTGTCAGAATGTATTTATTTGTAAATACAATATTTTTGATGGCATTGCGTTTGAAGAAAGTTTTACATGAGACACACGACAATACATTGAAATTAAAACCTATTATAAATATAGTTTTGTTAAATAAATTTCTATAAATCCAACACTTTGTAATCATTCAAGACATACCCCGAGCCTTATCTCCACAAATCGCACAAACTTTTATAGTTTTCTTATCAGACATATCATTTATATTTATTAATCTAGTTTATGAATTAAACATGTTTTGTAAAAAACACTAACTTGTAAATAAAATATACAGTACAAATAAAACCAATGTTTATACTTGCGCCATATATTTGCACTAAACTTTAAGGTAAGCTATATAGAATAAAAAATGTACTTTATAATAATTGCTCCAAGGACATACGATTCTCACTTTCGATTGCTATACTTTATTCTATGGGATATAAAAACAAATACAATTTAATACTGTATATTCTTTGTACAGTATATAATGTCTATTAATAATAAAAGATTAATAAATTTACAATAATGCATTAAATGTTATTGATGTTTTATTTGAAGAATTAATATTTTCATTCAATTTTTGATATTAATTTCATATATCTCTCTAAATAATGACCCCAAATATTTAGGCTTATACTCAACAAAGTCATTTTTAATTGTATCATTTAATTTATGCAATAATTGGACACAGTTGACAACTCTTTGTAATCTTGATTTAACTTCACTTTCAGATCGATATTTCAATAATAAGTATCGCTGCAACAAATGCACATAAATGTGTTGCTTATATCTACACAAAACAGAATATTCTGTAAATTGTAACTAAATTTTAATTCAATGCTTACTGAATGACATCTCTATGTCTAAGATTGGGTCGATTCGGACTGAAGAGTAGTATTGCTGTCATCTAAATGATTAAACACTAATTAATATCCAGTTTAGGAAAATAATTTTAAAAATGAAATACCAAATTCATAATAACAGGATCACAATCCCATAAAAACATGAATTCCCACATATAATCCTTAAATGCTTTATAGACTATTGGTTTGCTTTTCTCTATTAGAGACAATTCAATAGTAATTGTATATTCATTCTGAAAATAATACTTTATTAATATTATGCTGTATGTATGTTAGAAATTAACTTATAATCTTATAATGAAAAGCTCACATAATTAATTTTCAAATATCTATTAACCAAATCGTAAGCCACTGTCTGTCGGAGACAACACATTTCAATGCAGCCATACTTTATAAGTGCGATCTGATCATCGCTACAAATATCATTGAATTGTGTCAATAGTTTGGACAATTGGATCAATTTATGAGTTAGGAGTTCCCAATTGCGGACAATCGCCTCCAGTCTCTCGTAAGTACCGATTGTATTAAACACCAGTTTTCCGGCTGATATGTTCAGTACATTGGCGGCGCTTAATAGCTCCGACAGTCTCAAGCCCTCCATCTCATTGAAATTATTGTTGTAATCAGTTATCGGTCTTATTATAGTCAACACTTTTAGTTTATAATTATTTAGTAATATCTGATTTATCAAGCTGCTTTTATCATATTTTAAAATTTTTGAAGTGTTTAACTGATCAGTACTTTGATTGATGATGGACGATTGCAATTCATTGTCCAACACTTTCCCGTGTTTATTGCGCTTACATTTCTATAATTGTAAATTTTATTGTAAAAAATAATACTGTATTAAAATTTGGTATTTAGATTAATTTATTTATAGTCATTTAATTTATGAATATTATACTTACTTTTTTCATTCCCACTGCTAAACACTTTTTAAGTCTACATTTTTGGCAGAATCTTCTGTTAAAAGTGTTGATATGGCAGTCATTGTTATAACAACACATGTAATCCTATGTAAGAAAATTAATAATTTTATAAAAATTTAATTTAATTTTTCTTATTGTAACATGGTTACTTTATTTTTTGATGCAATTCTTTTAAAAAACGATTTACACGATACACACGTGAGCACTGAATAATTATTTCCTATTATGGTATTAATAAAAATAATTGTATGAGTTAAGTATATTATTTACATAATTTAATTNCTATTATGGTATTAATAAAAATAATTGTATGAGTTAAGTATATTATTTACATAATTTAATTTGCATATACGTGTAATGCAAGTGAAACTTAAAAATCACATACCAATAGCTTTATCACCACAAACAACACATTTCTCTTCTGAGTCCATGAGTTTTGCAAAATAGCTTTGATTTTTCAATTAATTTCAAAGGCTCTTAAATATAAAAATGAGACTCGTACAATAATTTTTTTGCAAAGCACCTATTCCATTATTTTAATTACTAATGAAATGGCAATTGCTAATTGAATTTATTTCCATTATATGTTATAAGAAGTGATACATATGATTGGTTTCTAAGACAACATTTTAATACATATTATTAAGTGTATTTCTTTAGTAACAAATACAATTAACAAAAAAAATGTTATAATTATTAAATGTACTGTACATTTTTATTGACAATCGACGCCTGTTGTGAATCAATAAATTTTTTTATTAATATACAATTTTCATATAAATATAATTATCTATAATATTTATAAATGCCAATATACATTTATACAGTAGAATTTATACATGATGTGTACAAATATTTATAACTATTATATACCTACCAGTAATTATATTGTATGCTTTTTTCATATTCATAAATGACTATTACATTTCTAGATCTCTGTATTTTTAAAATAAATTGTTTAATAAAAATTTTTAAAGATTCCTTGATATTTATTAAAATTGATTTTATTCATTTCTATCACATATTTCTTTATAAAGTGGTACAAAATTCAAGTCAATACGTTTGGAAAACATAGTTATTTTGTCGCTAATTATATTTAAATATTTCAGATTATCTAATAACTTAAAAAGTTTTATTTGCGACACAGATTCCGATTGATACTTCACTTGCAAATAGCGTTGCAGTAAATGTATGTAAATATTTTGGTGATATCTATAAATTAAGTTTAGGAATGTTAATGAAATCGTAATCAAGATTAAAGTGCACTTGTCACTTAAGAGGGGACACAGAGGCGACCGATAGCGCCGGTGATGGCGCAGGAGTTGTCTGTGGACTCAATCGTGGCATCTGTGGACTCGTGGGATAATCGTCCACTTCCTCCTCCTATTAGTTGTCAACTCATTAGACATACTATTATTTAGTGAGTAGTAAATGATTACCTCTCGAGTGGACTGTTGTCTCGTGTTGTCTGTGGTCTGGTTCGGCACCTGTTTGAATGGCTTACAGAAGACACAGCTATTGTTTTTACAGCTCTTCCAGTGGGATATGATTTTGCGTGAACTCAGACAATGGGTTTCAGTGCAGTCTATATCTGTGCCAAAACATAATCAGCCATTAATTCATTGCAATTCACATATCATTCAAAGGGTGACTTACAGTCCGTGCAACTGACCATATGTTTGAGCACATCCTTCATGAGTGGACACAGAAGTAGTCCACACGGAGTCCGCCTTTCATTCTGTGCGTCCTTTTGCAGACATTTCGTGGAGTGAAGAATGAGAGCCAAGCGCTCGACGACACCCCGCCTCCTGTCCGCGTCAGTCGGTTCAGTAGGTCTGGCCATTGGCACCGCATTTGGCATCGATGTGCCGACCGACGGGTGTTGTGAATGACTCCGTGCGTCAATTGTGGTCGTGTTTGGCACCTGTGTTACCATCGGCTGCACTGTTCGCTTGACTTGTGAGGACATCAATGTCTGCATATCATTAGCCGGTTGTGCCCATTGGGGCGCAATATGAGACACACTTGACTGCGGCTGAAGTGATGAACCGGCCCATATTTCTAGTACCTGTGCTGGTGGTGGTGGTGGTCGTGGTCGTGGTTGTGATGACCAGTGGGTAGAGAATAGTGGCAGTGGTTCGTGTGGTGGCCACAAATAATTGTCATCCATCACGTACTGGACTGATTGCTGACTGGGTCTAAGAGTCGGTGGGTTGGGAGGGAACTGCTGGACGAGAAAGTGTTGGGTCTGATGACCCGTGTATTGAGAGGAACTACCGGTGTATTGAGGGGTCATGTTTGTGGTGAATGTGTGATCATTGGTGGCCATGGATGTGAACAACAA